GGCTGCGACCTGGAGACCTGGTCGTGCCGCGGTGATTTGGGGACTGCAGCGCTGGGTCTAATGCACAGCAGACTATCATGCAGGTCTCAACGCTGCACACGGCAATAACACAACCGGCGACTGCAATGCTGGACGGTCCATCAGGGGGTGCCACTTCGGCCACCGTCAATGCCGCCTGGGCTATAACACCAGAACCGTCCCAGATCCGAGAGCATGTTCGTAGCCGCGAGACCACCGTTAGCGGTGGGGGAAGAATTCGGCACGCACTCTAAGTGGCGCGCTGTTTCGGCTCTGGCCGTCGGGTGAATTTTCAGCCTGAGTGTGGCCGTGTTTATGACCCCTTAAAACGCGGCCGACTACGCAGTGCGCGTCGCGCACCGGCCAAGCAGGAAGTGGCCGCCTGGCTCGAGGCGGATAAGGCCGGCCAGAAACGCCTGCCAGGCTACTTATCCCCAGACGACGTCACGTGACAGAGTCGGGACAAATCGAGCACATGGACAAACGCAACGCGTCTGATCCTGGGAACAATAACAGCTCGTGTGCCAGACAGGCACCAGGCTGACCCTCTGCCAAGAGCTCATGAGCAGGCCAGGACCTCTGCCGACGGTGACAGACTGTTCAACGCGCTTATCCGCACGCCATCGCCGCCTCTGTCCACGGGTAACACTGTGGCTGAAGACGGAGAGGCGAGCGCCGCAGCCGTCGAGCCGGCCGCAGAGAAAGCGTGAGCTGGCTGCACATGGCGGCGGTGATGACGGAGATCGGCGCGGATCTGGCCGTCCTCGTCTGCACTCGAGCGAGCGCGGCACCATCCGGCGGCGAGCGGCAGCGCTTTCACGCGTCATCAAACAATCGGTCGGGAAGAGGAGGCGGACACGCCCAGCCTGCTGCGGATGGTCTCGTGGCGGCGCTGCCACCAGCGGCGTCGCCAGTGGAGGCTAAGGGGGAGCGGGCTACAGCCTTCTGAAGGCTTGTATTGCCCCTGGTGCCAGCGGAGATTCATAGCTTGACTTGTTTGGTCTTCCGTATCAACGGCGCCCTGAACGTCAGTCTCCGCCCCCCCCCCCCTCCCAGCGTTAATTAGCCCTGCCTTAAGTCAAAACCTGGCGACGCCCATGACAACAGGATACAGCGGCACCAGCAGCACAGAACAGACTCCCTTAAAGACGTAGGATGAGAGCGGTGAAACATTTCATAGCCGTTATTTGGCCTGAAAGGCTAAAGGAACTGAAGCCTAACATTCATTCAGCTGCGAAAAGAGCGGTACAAAGCCAGTGTGATATCTGCCCCGGTCACGCCTCATGCACAGGGCCACTCAGCGGGCGACGTGGCCACTTTCTCAGCAGCCGTGACTCATGACGCAGACGCGCGAGTCGGACCGGGGCGGGTCCGCACCGCGGCCATTCGCACGGTCGTCCCGCAGCTGCCGGCTGTGAACGGAGCCCAGCCGTGCAGGAGAGCATGCCAGCGGCGATTTCTTCCAGCGTGCACGGACCTGGTGATGAGCAGGAGTGCGAGCGGACCAGCGGTGCACCGTGGTACCTTGGCCTCAGCGGCGTGCTCTTCCCCGACGATGAAAAGGTTTGCGGTGGAAGCGTGGCCAAAAATTCGGCAGTGACAAAACGGCGCGCGCATCGTGAAGTGACGCGCAGACTTGGTCCGCGCCCGTTTGGAGTGCCGCCGCTGACTGACCCGAACGCGGCCCGCTCAGATCTCCGGCAGATAGCTCGCCGCACCGTCCTAGCCACAGCGCCCCGCCCGTGTCCTTACAGCGACCTCATACAAAACTGGCGCGCCGGGCGGCGGCCGCTTTACGGCAGAAATTAACCTAGATCGGACGGCAGCCGGCCACGCCTGCCCACGCCGTTCATGGCCAAGGTCGCGGCGGCGGTGGTGGCGCTCCGACCTCACGACCACCAGCCGCCGACCACCGACCGCCAGTGCCAACACCGCTGGCGCACCGGCGCGCGCTCACCAGACATTGGTGGGCCTTGGGACGGAGAAGTGGCCGACAACCCAGCGGCTGAGAACTCTTTGTTCGGGTGGGAGCCGAATTTCGGAAAAGCTCGCTTGGCTGTTTAGTTGCTTAGCGAAGCTTACGTGCTCAAAGGTCTTCAATGCGTTTATAAGTGTTTTGAGAGCACTTACAGCTGTAATTATGTTAATTACAATCTGATCAATGTTTCAATCGTTCGTTCATAACCAATGCTAGAAGTGAATGGCTTAGCAAAAATGAAATCTACGCGTTTCAAAACCCTCATTGTTCCTTCCTTGATAGCCCCTGAGTGTCCATTGCTGGTGCAACCAGACTACGTCTATTACAGCTCGCTTAGCCCCGAGTGAGCGGCGGTGCACCAGAAAAAGGCGTCTGGGCGCCGCGAGTCACGAGCTAATCTGGTCCAAACTTTCGCTTTCGGTGACCTTACTCCAGTCTGGGGTGCGCCGGCGGACAGTTTCGCTCAGGCGCCGCCGTTGTCTCCTGTCCCTCAGCGTCACTATGCGTTGGCGGCTGAAGGACACGGACCCCGATAGCTAATTGACAGATGAAAGTGACAGTGGACGGCGGGGTCGGCGAAATGCCTTGCAAGATGAGAAGCAATTAGGGGATCGGTAACCACAACAACAGAGCGCGGTACGCACCGCGACCAGCCACTCGAGCCACTCTGCTGATCCCGTGAGCAATGCGGCAGAGCGGACGATTAGCCGAGCCGTCACGCGGCCTGCTCTGGCAGTGCGGTGGTCAGGAAACGATCCAGTCGATGGAGAGTTACTTAACCGGCGGTGGACCAACGGCACTAAATCAGAGCCGCGTCCGGACCGAGCGGCGCGCGCGGTGTCGGTGACCACCGAAGCCGAACGGCCGATACGGCCCGGTGCATCCCCGGCTCGGACACGGCCGGAGAAAACCGCCGGCCGCCGGCGGCGCCGCTGTCCGAGGCACCCTCAGACAATGTGTACACTGGTCTGGGCACGCGCTCGGAGCCAATCGCGAAGTAAAGGCAGGGGTACGATCAGAGAGGGGCTGTTTTTCGGATGCGATTGCCAGTGCACGCAGACGTCTGGAAGTACCTCAACAAAAGGCAAGGAAGTCGAAAATTGTCGTTACTGAGCATCTTGATTATCTTTGTGGGTTTGGGTTCGGCACAAATACGTTTGAGGCAGCTGGGTGTGCCAGCACCGACCAGGCAAGATATGAAGGGCGGCACTTAGATTCTCATCTTAGAAATTCAGTTGAATGGGAAAATTAGAAGACTGAGTGATTATCAAGAAGACGGTGTGAAATTTTTCAGAACGAGAATAAGAATTTAAGAGAAGCGTGATGTTCTCATGGCGGGAACAATAGAGAGTGCGCGAACCTGGCGGGTGTTCGTTGGAAGTACAAATAGAAAATATGTCATTACAGAAATTATCAACTAATCAAAAGCAGGCAGGCTTGTCTCGCGTGAGACTAGTCAGACTTTAACAGCACGATATCGCGGCATCCCTCTTTGTCTTGAAGGACAAATTCATAAAATGGAAATGCTTTTCAACTGGCTTCACCATGCAATGCCAAATCAATACATTTAGAGTAGAAATGGGCATTCCTGGTCACTCGCTCATGGGTAAGTGGTAGGCAAAAATTAAACTGTTATCAGCATTAGTAAAAGCATAACAGCACCAGTAATTCAACATTACTTTTACTGGTATGATATCGATGAAGTCGAAAACGAATAACGTGCGGAGATGAAATACCGTACCGAAATGGGTTCGGTTTACCCTTTCATTGTGATATCCATACGTATTTAGCTAAACATATATATATATATATATATATATATATATATATATATATCAAAGACATCGACCGGAAAAAGTTGGCACGGGAACACAGAAAATAGCTTCAGGGCCGGCGCAAAGGACAACTATGCAGGGTTCAGAGCGATCAATGCTCTCTGGCGTAACCCACAAATGTGCTGTATTGTGCGCAGAGGACGGTCGGGAGACTGACGTACTTATGGCCCGGCTGAATGGTGTCAAATATACCGCAAATCGGTGGCACCAGCTCTGCACATGTCTACATAACGTTATTGTCAGCTAAAGGCGAAAAGCATCTCAGTCTTAGCACAAATTTAAAGGTTCAAGCTGCAAACACTTTCCTTGTAAAGAGAAGCACCGACCCATAGAGATCATTGGAAATAATGAAAGATAATACGTTAGGGAACAATCTGGCATGAAATATGCAGAATGTAACAGCGCGTTGGCATAAGACGCGCCTTAGTTATGCTTATAAATGACAAGAATGGTTAAACGAAGAAGTTAAACGTGTGCGTTACCATACATTGTCAAAAATTCATAGAAGGTACATTTTCGTGCAAATTTGGTAGGTAGCAAACATGAACAATTTAAGCCAAGCTTGCTAAATGGACTTAAATCAACCTACACTGGACTCGATGATAAACTGATTCCATTCTGTACGCATTTGCAGCTTAAGCCATGGCACCAAGACAGCAATTTAACTAAAATTGTCAGTACCAGTTCGGTGCTAGGAATATGGACGTCACAAAAATGTAGTCACCGTGAAAATGTGCTTCCTTCCGTCACACAATTTCGTTTCATGTTAGAATGGCAAACCAAAGAAACTGGTAACAATAAGGCACTTGGAATTTTCTCATGTGAGCTCGCCACCTCCTCCACAAAACCGAACATTACCGATGAGCACCTCAAAACCGCCAACGTTACTGGGTCTTCAAATTTTTAAGACTAGAAATGGGTAATGTCTGATTAGAATGATCAAAATGGGACTTTTTCATAACCGCACGATCAGAATCTTTGGCTTAGCAGCCTACTTCCGCGCCTATCCGTTGGTCTGCATGACATCAGCGGAGCCGACCCGTGATTCGGCCGGAGCATCAACGCGGCGGCGCTCGGCGGCGCCGAGGAACACATCACCGAGCGTGGTCCGGGCGGCGGCCGGTGCACGCGCCGCACCACTGGCGCTGTTCGCTCGCCTGCCGACCCACCTGGTCATGACAGCACTGAGGTCCTCAGCTGGACCCACACGGCACGCTCGCTCCGAACCGAATGACACTGCGGCGCGGCGCCGGCGCGCCAGACTTTCATACGGAGCGGCGGCGGCGCGGCCACGGGGGCGGCCGTCGCCGCCGGCGTCCGCCGGCCGGCCGCTTGCACAACGCGCCCGAGAGGGCCCGCCGGGCGCGTGGTGACCCCCGTCGGGGTGGGGCGGCCGGCACTGCCGCGGCGGCGGCCGAGCGGCGCGGCTCGGAGGCGCGCCGCTCTGCCGCCACCCCGACGGCGGCCAGCGCCCTGCCGTGGGGCTATTGGCACACGCGGCCGCTGCTAGAGGCCGGCGTTGCGGACGTGGGTGATGGAGATTGTCATGATGGCAACGCCCTGCAGCGAAGCAGACGCTGATGTGACGCAAAGCGAGACTTTGCCGCAGGCACAGTAGATTTAGCGTGCGCGATGCATATGCACCTCTTGCACAAATACTGGCCGCAGAGCATTTCCACGCAGGCTGATAGCGAAAGGTCGTTTAAGGATCATGGGGGGGGGGGGGGGGTTTCTGGGAAATCAAGATATGCATTTCAATTTGTGTTGCCGGTTCATTCTACATTCGAAGGATGTAGCCTTGTTGATCCTAGTCCGGATAGACTTGCCATCCTCCCAGGTAGGGGACGATTGTCCCCACCCCCCAGATCTCGAAAACTACATGGCTGTCTACGAAAGCCAATTTCTGACAAGATCTACGTTCCTAAGGACAATAGCGCCAAGTATTTCTAACAGGGATGCACCAGGGAAAACCCCAAACTTTAAGGGTCTTCTTGATCCGATGCAGCTGTCACTTTACCGACCGATTTGGACGCACCGAACTGAGATCGATAGTAGCGATTTCCATATAATCATACTGTGTCAACTTTTCAAGTTTAAAATTGCTGCGAGTCCCTAGAAAATACAAAAGAAAGTGATGGTCACTGTTGTAAAAATGGGACATGTTCTTAATGCAGTCACGCGCTTTTTGTTGCACATGAAGGAATTAGGATATAGGATATAGGATAATATAGGATAAATAGGAATTAGCTTTGTTATGCGAGAAAAGTATGCATCAGCTGAAGGATTCACGTAGAGGTGTACATTGGGGTGGTGAAGGGAGGGGGAGGGGAAGTAACTGAGGAGTGGATATCATTATCGGACAACCATGCTGCTAAGCGCAGCTAATAAATAATCTTACATATATAACATGCACATACATGCTGCATAGGCTTACCCAGACTTCCAAAGGAAGTGAAGTCGGGGCACGTTGTCACACTCTCCGAAATCAGTCACGGATGCAGTACACCGGAACATGGATGAAGAGAGCTTGGACCAAGGAAATCAAAATAAAGCAGTTACAAGGCCCTGCTTACTGCGACCGGCCTAAGTCCAGTGCAATTTTGTCGCGATAATTTTATCATAGTTATCAAAATTATAAATCATCGCAAATTAATTGATGTTGCATCTCAGGCCCAAACTCGTTGCAAGCCTATACTAAGATTTCCAAATCTTAAGAGGCTCATGGCTGGCTCGTCGTAAGGCAGTGTTAATCGCAAAAAGGTGTATTCTTACATCATTTGTCTTTCCCTGTTTTGCAAGCCTTATCCTCCTGGTAAAATTCCATGATCGGTAGACTTTAAAAAACATTGAGGTGTCCATACAAAAGGCTTTTTCAGCGCGTTTCTCACGCGCTTATGGCCCGAGACTATAAGCGGTGTATCTAACTGCTTCATAATTTTTTACGAACGCGTTACGACATTCGAGAGTTATCGCCACTTTCTGAGTGATGTGCTTTCTTCTCCCATCTCACAACTGCCAGCCACACTGTGCAGTCTTTTAAATGAGAGGAGCCCCAGAATTTTAGGCCGCATATTTGGATACCTAGCACGCAACTTGTTTCCGTCATTGTAAGGGTGATTAATGTCGGCTTATCGCTTGCAGCTGTCTTGTATGCCTGAGTATTCAGGATGATTTAACCGTACATTTGGACCTATGTCATGACTTTCAATGCGACGAGCAAGCCCCTTGGATCCGAATTTAGGTACCCTCCGACATGTATTACACGCCACACTTTTTCGTATGACGTCACGTGACTTCGGCGCTCGTCGGACGCTCGTCCGACGTGCTGAAAAACCTGTGTGACCGGACCATTAACCAAACCAATGGGAAATTGCGGGATGTGTCTGGAACCTTTGGTTTAGCCTTTGACGCCATCTTCATAAAAACCACGGAAACTCTCATCTCTGTTATGGGCTCGCTCGCCAAATCTTACACAAGGTGTTCGACCGGTGCATATGTTCACGTTGCTGTGCAACATTTTCACACGTTCTGCGAAAACTGAGAGGCCCTACCCCGCATACGTAGCGAGTGATGACTTCTTTGCTAAGATGGTGCTGATCCAGCTGACGTTTATGAAGATCAGTTTTTTTGCAGGCATCGAAGCTCTTGGATATATACTATTGCGTGATGGCTCAATTCTATAAAATGCAATCAATATATGCCATTCAAAGATCGAGCTAGGTTGGATTTCTGGGCTTAAATATGGATTGTGTATGGCCTGATTAAACTACCAATCATAGATAACATTCTCCGATTTGTCATGCGGCTTTATAAGCACTGTTCAGTGTGGCCAGTTCGTTACTGTACCATGTCTAACTCTTGAGATGACGGGGTGAGGTTTGTAAGCACAAAGCCTCATTTGTATGACCTACATTGATATGTTGGTTTGTGACAGGTTACACTTAATGGTGGGTTACCATCGACTTGTTAGTAAGCCAACGGCTTTAAAAGACCTCAACAAGTTTATTCACTGATCTTACCTTGTTGTGATTTGCCCTACTGAAAGAGACACCTTCACCGATTTTCAATGACCTTATTTTGACGCTATTTGACGTGATTCATATGGTGTTACCTTCCACTAAGCACTGACCTGTTTAGTTGAGATACAGGCGGCGCTGCGAGAGCCACTGGTCACGACCCGACAAAAGTCCCGTCTATCAAGCATGACAGGGCAGGGGACAGAACCATAAAACTGGACGAGCCAGAAGCTAGGCGATCGGGTGCAAAAGAGAGTGAAGGGAGCGGCTCCCGAGATCAGACACAGGTCACGCCGTGAGCGTTTTCGCCTACAAGACTTGCTCTTCATGCATATCAAAGACAACGTACTGGTGTGCTAACGAGGTACCAGATCCTGCATTGGGGACTGGCTTTGCAGCCAGTGTCTTCCCGTCAGCAGAGCGCACCTCTACCACAGACCATCAGTGAAGCGCAACAAGGATAAGCTCATACCAGCGTCCGCAGACACGGATACAGTGCAAGGGTTGTAAATGATTGGACGATTGTAAATGATCGATAATGATTTATTGATTGATTGATAATGACTGATAATAATTGTAAATGATTGGAGCGCGCTGCCTCGACCGTGGCTGCTGCTTCTCACCCAGCCTGCCTAGGACCCCACTGGATACACAGCGGGCGGCAGGCAGTTTATTCTCCCGAGTTACGTGCTCGGTACACGAGCTCGACGAGAATAGGGACCACCAGGCCAAGCGGCCTCTCAAATCCCGAATACGTTAAGGTAGGATAAGGAAGCTGAACATAGTCTCTCTTGATGATGTGAGTGTAACAGTCTCTTACATAGTCCCATGGTCTCTAGATGACGCAAGATGTAAGTGTGACTTGAAAAATAATAATTGGTGGGTTCGTGTCTTATTGTAATGCATATCAGTCACAGGACAATGATATTAATGTAATCGACCGCCCGCGGCGTTTGGACCAGGAGACACATCTCCAGATATCATCACTGCACAACAATATGAACATAGCCGTGATAAGTTCGAAGCTCTTATGTTGAGCTAACAATCTTCCACATATCAGGAGGCACCGATTGCACCACGTAGTGCTAAATGAAGACAGCATTAACGGAACTCAGTAATACATCAAGAGGCACTGGCATAATCAATGTATCAGAATCTGCTAGCATATTGAAGGTCGACATAAAAAGATTAAAAAACTGCGGCAACCCTCACTAAAAAACTTTAACTCGGCATAAAAACTGAACAACTGCAGCTGAAGTCCTTTCTTTCTTGTAGCAAGTGAATATAGATGTTCTTCACTTGACATTTTACGAATCCAACGGAAAAACACAGGCGATGGCAGAGAGTCGTCTTTTTGAGTCGCTCGTCAACCACTCATGTCTGACCGACATTTTACCACAAAACATCCCGACATTCTTACACAACACCTTTTACCTCCGACAGCAATTCCCTGAACTGTTGGGCGTTCAAAATATATGAGTGAACGATACACAAGACCAATATCACAGTCATGGAGTTGAGCCAGACCTGACGCAAGTATGAAACGTCAAATAAAGTCACCCATTTGGATGCTTTTTCATGCTTAGCTCATGCCGCCAGCGTTTATTTACATCCCTATCCATTACCCGACGCGTGACGCGCGAGTGAATTAATTTCTACACGTGATTAGTGACAGCCGGCGACGCTTCTGCACCGTAGTTAACTGACAGCTGTCAGTCAGTAATCAGCTGTCAACTTTGATTCTTCGGTATGCGCCTGGGCTTGCACGGAATTTTATCCGTAACGGTGTTCGCGATTGGAGACAAAGAGCTTTTGCACCATCGCGACGTATTGTTATCCCAACTACATTCAACATCTCAGAGCTCCGTCCACATCGTACGTCCCAAATCAACCCGGGAACCTTTCCATTAATTTGGTGGATGTTCATTTGTGCTGTCACGTTCGGTGCACGAATTGGCCTTGGCCTACATTTTAAGGGCTTAGAGCCTCCAATGTCTTTGGATTTGGACAAGTTGTTGTGAACATTTTGTAAAAGTGATTAGCTTTGAACCTTTAAATAAAATATCTTTAAAAGTGAGGACTGCTGCGGTGGGTACCTGACTGATATTTCACTGACGGGTCACGTCAAATTCCCTCGGTGTTGGTTGCTACTATATATATATATATATATATATATATATATATATATATATATATATATATATATATACGCCTTTCCCTCCTTCCCTCCCTCCC